TTTCACAGACGAGGAAAAAGGGGGTGAAAAATGGGAAGGGACTTTCCCCAAATCCCACAGTCAATAACACCAACCTAAAGTTCAGATGCCAAGTCTAATGCATTATTTTATCACAGGATGCTCAAATAAATGTCTGACTTGTTAATGATCATATTAACAGATATCTTCTTTCTTACTTAAGAATTTCTAATCACTCTTCACTTGTTAAAATTATATAAAAATACTACTGAGGATTGAAATTTTAGGTCTACAGTACCCGAGTATCTATGGGTATCCTTTAATAGCACTTATCACTTTCTACCTACTATTATAACTAAGCTTCTCTGTGAATTTAGTTAGAATTAGATACCATTCTGATTAAATTTTTATTCACTTTTGTAATCCCACAGTGCCCAGCACAATGTGTAGCACATGCTAAGTACTCTCTCTCTGTATTTTGAATTACTGAATTTTCTGTTCTTTACATTTTGATGTTTTCAACATTTTTTTCTTGATAGAATGTAAGCTTCATAATGTCATGTTAATCTTTAATTCACCTTTGGCTTTCCAGTATTCTTAGCCCAACAATGTTTATATGATAAATGCTTAATTTTTACTGACTTGAACTGGACTGATTTGATAAATAACCCCACAAACCAAAATATGTTTATGTGAAAGCTATATTGAAAAATAATACAGTACATTTAGAATGCTTTACTTGAATAGAAACAAAGAAATTTTGGCTCCTGGATTCTTACAGAGGGATCCTTCCCTTCTTTATAAACCTGTAGTACTAACTCACTACACCATTCATCTGGCATTTAGCATGTATTATCTTGTACTGGTAGTAAATTTCATATCTATATCCTCTTTAAGTCCCAGAGCAAAGACTACAATTAAAGAAGAATGATTTGGTAAAAATCATGAGTTTTGATGTTGGACAGAATGGGTTCAAATCCTAGTTTTGCCATTATCAACTATGTAACCTTACAGAGTATTGATTTCATCTCTGAACCTCAGTTTCACTGTCTATAAAACAGAGAAAATATCTATCTTGTAGGGTTAAGGATTAGAAATAACATGTATCAATTGCTAACGCAGAATATATGCTCAATAACTGATGACTATCATAAAACCCCTCTGAGTCCTCAATAATTCAATGCCATAGATGCTAGGTACATAATGACACCTATTACTATCAATATCACTCCATGCTTATTAGGCCAGTAGGTGAAATGATAAGACAAAAGCATACCTGTTAGGTAAGAGGTAAACTGCTTTGGGCCACAGCGAATAGCATAACGTGTAGTTGTTCTCACAGCTTTTGGTTCAGTCTGCAATGTGTCCCTGGGACAAAAGAGGGTTCCATCTGATGTTTCTCCCCACCATCTTACTCGGACAAGTACACAAGAGGGAGGCTTTGCAACCTTCCATATGACTTTATTAACAGTAAGTTTCAGAAAGCAGCGTAGCTGGCCTTCAACTAAAGGTGGTAGGCTTGTAGATGGAGGAATGTCACTCAAACCTGTGGAGGAATTAAAGAACACTAAGTAAAAATTTAGACTAACTACAGAAAACATATAATCTGCTTTTTGAATAAAAACACACAAAAAATTTAGGCTCTACAGAGAGCAGGCTTATCCTACTTATCCTAATAGAGGAGAAGTAACTAGCAAACCAGACCATGGAATAACCTATCTGGTCACTTAAGCCACCTTGGTAACAAATTAGTATTTAGGGTTTGATTCAGGTTATTATAAGTAAAGAACACCCAACTTAAGACATGCTAATACAAACTCCTCTTTAACTGAAAGATATCTGTAAAATACAAATACAATGATATGGTAGATAGGCTTTTCAAATTTCAGTAGTTAAAATTTTTCTTCCAAGTACTGTTGTTTTGATTATTGCAAAGTCCACAATTCTTAAGATGTTATCTTTACCTAATTCTCTTACTTTAAAACCATCACTAAATATAAAACAGCAACAACTCCCTTCACTCAGTTCTCAAATGATTAAGTCTATACCATACAACTCAGCATTTCAATAAAGACCACCTTAAATTGTCTCTCTTTTCCTTCCTGCCAATATCATAGTTAATGAGGACAGAGGTTATCTTCAGATTCTACACTATTTTTTAGCACAATGCTGGGTTCATAATATTTACTGGCTTTCAGACAGATAACAAAATGTAAATGAGGTAATCAATCATAGCTTTCTAGAAAACTTTCCTTTAATATATCTTCTAACCAAGACTGAGAGATTTAAGCCCGGCCAGCGTGGCTCAGTGGCTGAGCATCAACCCATGAACCAGGAGGTCCTGGTTCAATTCCAGTTCAGGGCACATGCAGGGTTATAGGCTCAATTCCCCTAGGGGGATGTGCAGTAGGCAGCCAATCAGTGACTCTGCCCGCCCCCCCAAAAAGACAGAGATTTAAGAAACCATTCCTACATTACACACACTTTTCTACTACTCTGACTTTTCCTTTGGGGGGTGATCAGGCCTCACAAGAAGAAAATACACTGGAGTCTATCAGGTCAGGAATCTATATAAATAATTCTTTGGATTTTTGAAGTGAACACCCTCTCTGCTCTCTATAGTGGAGAAAAGATCGACCATAATCTTTATGGTTAACTAGTTTCAATATAAAAATTATACACAGGTGTGTATATGAACATTACTGCATATGGTATAGTGACTAGAGAATTCTTATTTCTATTTTGATTTTCCTATCAACCAAATATGTTTGACTGGTTTGACACACGGAGCAGCAAAACTGACCACTTCCATGCTTCTGTCTCATATCCTCCCATCATTCCTGGCAGGAAAGGCAATGCCTCAAAATTGTCTTAAATATCTTTAAACAGTTTAGATAAGATTCATTTCCAGGCTGTAGCTTCAGTCCTCACCCCAGTGGCTTAATATACTATCACTATTCCTATTATCTCTTTGTGTGTAATGTAAAAAGGCAGTCACCTG